ACTATGTGGTCACTTGAGATGTGGATCGCAACGTTTCGACTGCATACGTAAAGCTAGTCTGCCCCAATAACAGCCGTGGAATTCCATCCAATCACAGCTAAGCACAACAGCATATAGGTGACACGTGCACTGTCCACTTCATCGCCTAAAGATGATTAGCACTATGCCGTCGGAACGCTGCGATCCGCATCACAAGTGACCGCATCGTGAGACAAACGAGTAAATTTCTCTTTTAAAGTGTTTTTTACCACGATGAATAACCACAACCTGTTTTGCTAACCAGCCTCAAACATCTACCTCTTCTCCCTAAGTTAAGAACGCGTCATTCGAAAAACGATTCAATCCACAATGTACACTTTGCTGTCTATCATTTGTAGTTATTATCCATTTTGCACCGTGAGGCAGATTTGCATTTAATTGGTATCACTCTCTTTATGAGAAGGGCATTGGTATTTCCGATTTTTAAGTTTTAGCTATTTACTAGATCAATTTTTGGGTTTTTAAGCCAAAAAATATCGGTCTTTCGGTTTTGTTGTTCATCACATTTGGCAGATTTTCCTTTTTCTGATCATTTCTTTTTGGGTTTTTGTCAAAAATGCTAACGGGTTTTCGGATTTGGTATCCGGTGTGGTTTTCGGTTTTACGAACGATTTCCGATTTTGGACACTAGAGGTCGATTTGGAGCTTGGACATTAATGATGGCCATTCTCTAATTTTGGACACCGCGGGCCGATATTGGATTTTGAACATTAATGGCCGAATTTGTATTTTGGACAATAGTGGCAAATTTCCGATTTTGGATACTAGTGGCCGATTTTGGAGTTTGGACACTAATGGCCGACTTCCGATTTTGGACAATGCAAAAGTGGTTGATTTCTGATTTTGGACGCTAATGGCCTTCAATGTGTAGTGCCTTGATGTGTGTAACAAAGGCCTCACAAAGATGGAATCGTTATCGACTAAAATTATTTATGATTATCAAGCAAAATTAAAATCAAGAGAAGCCGGTTTTAATCATTATTGGAGCCTAGAGGACACACCGATAGAGGAACAGTCAATCAATAAATCAATCAATCAAGTTTATTGTCTTTATGTGAGGCATGGTTACCCAAGAGAGGTTTTGCACAGCAGCCATGTTGGATAGCAGGAACAATAGATTATTTTACCCATGGGAAAAAGATGTCTTTGTTATGCAAAATATTTTCATCAGCCTGAGGCTCATGTATAAAACGTAAGACTATAAGAATTATGTACAAATAATAGTATAAGTATATGGCGATAAAAAGGTAAAGTAAAGTGTTAACAAATATGTAAATTGAATGTGATGGTAAGGAGAGAAATATGAGAAATACATATACAAAAAGACGATAATAACTATAAACAAGAGTTGCACTGACAGCTGGGTCCTATTTTGCTGAAATCAAAAGTCTTGAGCTTACGAACGAACTCGCTAATCTTATTTGATGTTTTTATATCAGCAGGTAATTAATTTATTCCAGAGATAACTAACTTTATAAGTGAAATAGTTACAAAAAAATTTATTATTGTAACCAGGCTGTACTAGATTAATACCCCTACTTCTTAATTTATATCTGGTTTGGCGAATTTGGAAGTGAGATTATTGAACTAGCTTTTATAAATTATCTTATTGTTACCACAGTGAGTCGCTGAAACCTCTCTCCCAATTTGGTTCAGCAGTATCTGAGGTACATTTCCAGCGGAAATTGGTGACTTTACCATCGCTAAGTGATATATGATCATATGCGGCACCCCAGTTCCCATTTACTTTGATGGCAATGAGTCCAGCTGTTTGTTACAAGGTAAAAGGATAGGCTCAAAACTGATGAACTTAGTAAAAGGCAAACACTGTATAGCACTCTCCTTTTTGCCATTCAAGTACATTTCCACTCCGTATTTGCAGCCTAAACTTGCACTAACAAATTCATGTAACTTCCATAAAGTGCGACCTCACAGTGCCACCAATCTTCGGAGTCGTTACTCCCCTTACAGTGAAACCTTAAACCGCAGATGCGGATAGATGTACAAGTTGAAAAAGAAAGTAAGAGTGAACCTATTTTTAAAAAACCCAATCTATCTAGCCTTGTCAAAGAATAGGTCAAGAAGGTTGAAGTCAGCAAATGACCGTTTACCTGTTATATCATTATTATTCACTACGCAGAAATTGTTTAAAATGAAAGAGAGGTCTTCTTAAGCAGTGATAAGAGAAAACCAGTGCCTTACAAAGATTTCCTTATCATTACTAATATAACATAGATAAAACTATTTTAATACGTTTAGAAAAAGGAAAAATGGCAGCAACTTCTCAACAGTGTGCCCTTCACGGAGCCTCCGAGTTCCGATTCTCAGATAACCGCCAATCAACCTCAGTACGTCGATACTCGCGCAAGTGCTGATTTGCACAGCGGAAGTAATTTCTTCCAAAGAATGGATCCGATCCAGGTGCCCTCTGGGCTGGGTGACCTTCAGTCTTGACGTAATGATGCCTGTTCGTGATCAAGTTACGTGCACCCCTAGCTTCGCTTCCCCTAAGAAGCCATGCCGTTGGACCGCCCCTAGTGTTGATTTCCTGCACCACATAGGCCATAAAGTCCCTCCATAAACTTTGATGAGACCCTGCATTATTTGATCCTTGTCGAACAGTTAGTGCTGAATTGAGAAGGAAGACATCTTGGTCAACCCAGGATTTTAAGTCCCCGTTTGACAGACCAACTCGGTATTCCTCCCACCCCAACTCCACGAGCATGTTCAAGACAGCAGGAACCTCAGCGGGTTCCTGATCTGACCTCAGGCTAAAGGCATAGCCTGTTGCCTGGTTTGCTTGGGGTGTTGGAACCTGTCATAAAATGACAACTTTTACGTGTCGAACACTGCCGACCTTGAAGGCGTTTAATACATCGGACAGCGAGGGCTCTATGGTATACCACCTGGCATCGCGTTCAAGATGACCTGAAATTTCGCGTATTTCTCCTTTAATAGTGCGACTGCTGAAAAATTCACCCCATCCACTTGGAATACAGTCATGCCTATAAAGATAGTCATACAGTGAAGATCTGCTGAACGATGCTCGTCTGCAATCAAAGCGACGAGAAGAGGAAGCTGAACGTACCTCCAAGCTGCTTGTATTTGCGTTGACATTTGCTGTATGTTGCATCCCTAAGACTAAGACAAAAAGGACATTTCGTTAACAAATTGCGCGATACAACCATCTGTTGCATTTAATTGCAACCGACACTTCCAACTTTTGAAAGTTGAAATAGATCCCAGAAACCTGACGATTTTCATCTCCGACACTGAATTGTGCTCATAAACATGCTCCTCTAAGCGCCTTTTCAGAAAATTTGTTTTTAACTTTACTAAACATTCGTTAATGAAGAAATGGACGCTCCCATTTTGAACAGCAAGTTAAGCACGCTCAGCTACTTGACTATTTATCATAATTTATGTCAAAAAATGCCTTTTTTGGTTGGTTCCCTAATGTTTGCATTGATAGCAATAGAAGCGGAGAAAAGGATGGGCGGGACTTACGTCTAAGGTAAGCGGCTAGAAAGCTAAGCAATACTCGAAATGGTGGTGCACATAGAAGTGGAGAAAAGGATAGGTGGGACTTGTTACGTCCAAGGTAAGCGGCTAGAAAGCTAAGCAATACTCGAAATGGCGGTGCACATAGAAGTGGAGAAAAGGATGAGTGGGACTTGTTACGTCCAAGGTAAGCGGCTAGAAACCTAAGCAATACTCAAAATGGCGGTGCACATAGAAGTGGAGAAAAGGATGGGTGGGACTTAGTTACCTCCAAGGTAAGCGGCCAGAAAGCTAGGCAATACTCAAAATGGCGGTGCACATAGAAGTGGAGAAAAGGATGGGCGGGACTTAGTTGCGTCCAATGTAAGCGGCTAGGAAGCTAACGGCCGAACTTTAATTAAATTTAAAGACAACTTTCAAAGAATAGGTTCACATTTGGGCTTTCAAAACACTAGCATTGTCTTAATTTCACGCATTATTTCTAATCGTTGATGCAAAAACTGTTAGTTTTTGGAATACAGTTCCACTTAAAGCAAGGCGGGTCCCAGGAGCTGTACCCTTCTATGTTCATTTCATTGACATGCCACTCTCGAGTCGTGTTTATTTCGGGACTCTTTAACTTCGAAATT